CCAGCCTCCAGAACTGTGAGAAAGATATTTATGCTGTTCATTAGCCACCAGTTTACAGTATTTTGTTATCGCAGCCCAACCTAAGACGTAAAGCATTATCTATTTTTTTAAAACTATTCATCTAACAAATATTATCTCTCATTTTCAAAATTACACACAAACTGAGAAATTGATGTGAACAAGATGACAGCCTAACTAGGAAGATTTGTAACTGATTAATTTATTTATCCAGTATCCCATTTCAACCTCACTGGAGGTCGTCAGTGGAGGGCCAAGTGCTTGATTTTTCTATTCTATGCAATAGGATTTAAATGAAATCATAGAGAAAATACTGGTCCAACTTATCTGAAAAAACAGCATATTAGTTAGAAGTCAACAAGAGATTCCTGAAAGGATGGGCCTAATAAGGTGATAGCATTTAATAGGACTGAATGTATGATTCTAGTCTAGGGTCCAAAAACAATGGAAAAAAATATAAGAAATGTATGGCTTAACAAGAATACACATTAAAATTTTTATTAAGAATTTTAATTGGCAATAAGGACACTGAAAGTCAATAATGTGCTTACTGAGAGTTAATATAGCAGGCTACATCAGTAGAATTACAACAACTTAAGAAGAAAGAGATGATGATTCCATTTTATTCAAGCCTGGGTTTCATCTGAAATTTTTATTTCTACGTGACCGGCACACTTTATAAAGTATAACATTAAAATGGTGAATATATTTAACACCCATCAAATGAAGAATAGCAACAGAACTTGGAAATGTTAGGATAAAATAAGGATGAAGAGAGACAGAAAGGCTGTCTTCAAATACCTGGGGGGCTGTCATTTGGAAAGGCTTTAGGCCTATCCTTCATGGCCCCAAGGGGGAAAAATTTTGTTGACCTGGCTAACTACTCCTCATCCTGCAGGAAACATCACTTCCTCCAGGAGGCCTCTCTGGCTCCTGAGCACTGGCTGCTTCTCTGTTGGGCACCAATGCTATTTCTAATTGTCAAATGGTGTCAGCCTTGCTAGACTGCAGACTCCCAGAGAGGGTGGACCACGTCTGATCCATTAGTCCTATAACACTCTGTGCCTACCACAGGTGAATGAATGAAACAACACGCGAGAAATAGATACGACTTTGATACGAAAATGTATTTTTCTAATACAGCTGTGCAGAGCTTCACAGGCTGACTCAAGAAGTGGCAATTTTTCTTTTACAGGAAACCCTCATTCAGGCTTAAAATGGTGGTCCACTTGCCTCAGGCAGGAGTGGGCAAGGTAGGGGGGATTAAAGCGTCAGGGGGGTGACTGGCTTATATGATTTTTAGCCTCCTTGCCCCCCTGAAGCCCTATCGTTTGAGTTCTGCTAGGAGAGGTTATGCTTACTATGTCCCAGATTTCATTTAGCACATCAGCTATATTCTGATCCATTTTAGAAAAGTTTAGTAACAAATTTCTATGTAATTCCTTCTGTTCAAACCCAAATTTCATTTGATGTTTTTTTTCTATCTTTTCCTTCTCCTTCTCTCCCTACTCCAGAAAGCTGATGATCAATATTTCCATTTCACTTTAAGAATGCACAAAGCTTCAGGAAACATAGTAGCAGACAATGAGGTGAGGTCAGACTAGAGAGAAATACTTCTGAGGTTCTTAGCATCAACTGTGCCAAACATAAATGCAGATTTGATAAATGACACAAAGTCATTACCTCTCCATTTGCCTTTCTGTGGATTTGATTTTTACAAGGCCTCAATTTTCCATAGAAACAGATCAGATTTATAGCAAATACAAAGACTGCATCTTTTATTTATAAGGCAATAAACTACCCAAATACTTTTCATTAAAACTGTGTGCCCTATAATACTGGCTTTTAGAGTACTAGGCAAGCATTAGATAACTTTGGTTATTCCTGCGGGAATTAATACACAAAGTCGTTGAAGGTCTCAGCACAGTTCCTGAGACTACCAATTCTGACCTTGATTACTTGATTCCATTCGTTAAGGAAGTTCTGGGATGAGGCTGTCATATATGTGAACAGATACACATGCTCGCTCTCCTGTCTCCACCCCCTGACTTCCTCCTTGAGGAACACCTTTTGTAAAAGTACCCCCAGCCTGGAATCAATTCATAGGCAATTATGAAACTAGGAAAACAACATGGTATTAATAATAATAATTAAAATACAAACCTAACTTTTTTTTTTTTTTGCTTTAAATATCTTTAGGGGGGAAAGGACACCACACTTCTACTCAATTCAGAGAAACAATTTTACAGTCTTGAGGTCTTTTATTTTCTTTACATTTATCATGCCATGAATTCCTAGGGATTGGGTTCCAGCAGTTTGGGTTCCTTTTCATCAGTTCTCTCCAAGTGTGCTTCTCTGGGCGGGGCAGGCTGGCACTTCCGTTGACCCCAAGTACCTTTCTCTTTGGCTTCCTTCTTTTTCTGATCAGTTTCCTTCACCCGCTTCAGGAAGCTATCTCGGCTCCTTGAGTGTTTCATATGCTCAATGCGTACATTAATTCTCTTGCCCTTAACTTGTTTGTTTACAACCATGCCAATAGCATGCTGAGTAACACTGTAGACTCTTCCAGTGTTGCCATGGTGACATTTGTGGGGCATTCCTTTTTGAACAGTGCCCATTCCCTTGATGTCCCCAGTATCACCTTTCTTGTAGATCCCCATGTATGTGGCCAAAGGAACAACACCATGTTTTCTACAAGGCCTAGAGAACATATAGTGGGTACCTCTCCTCTTTCCCTTTGTGTTGGTCATTTTGTCGAATTACCGGAAGATGGCGGTTCCGGCCAAAAGGCCAAACCAAATTTATTTTGAATCTTAGTACATCCACTGAGAAGTTTCTGAAAAAATTAGGTTGAGATAGGGATGGGGAGTTACAAAGAGGGGGAAAGCAGGCAAGCGACACCCAAGAGTGGAGAGTACAGTTGTTAGGAGGGCACCCCCACACCAGGAAAAAGGGCTTCAAGAGAGTCCCCCCAGAACAGGACTCAATATGACTGTCCTGAGGAAGTGTGGGCTGGACAGAGATTATTCCTATCACCTTTAAGTTTCATGCCTCTTTCTGAGATTACTCCTTATTGAAAGGATGAGCATGACAAGGAAGGTCACAGAGAAAACATGAGGAGAATGGAGAAGTGACACAACTTTCAAATGCTTAATGTTTTTTCTTTTGTACTATGTCATGCTAGCATTTCAAGACCAGAGAGTAGATCCTTGATTTACATCTCACTCTGCTTAGCCCTCTGTTTTCTACAGCTTTAAGCATAACCTGCCTAATAAGGTACTTGTTCCTACTTTCAGTATAACTTCAGACATGTCTATGAGAAAAAAAATACATGTGGAAAAAGTATGTCTATGCTAAGCAAGTATGACATGGGTATACTCTTCAGAGCAGTGCTTCTCAAACTCAAACATGCCTATAGATCACTGGCGATCTTGCTGACATGCAGAGTGTAGGCCAGCAGGTCTGAGATGCTGTATGTCTAACGAGCTCTCAGGTGATGCTGATGCTGCTCACTTTGAGTACATTTTAGACCATAACATGAAAACCCAGCTCTGGCAGGAAATCTGTGCCTGCACCTTCATTCCCACTCTTTTTTTTCTCCCCTGAGTTCCTGTACTCTTTCCTGTTTCACGGCTGTAAGAAAATTTCAGCGCTGAGCTAAGTTGAGTACAAAAGAAAAGAAAATATTCTAAAATCACAACTTCAAGTAGAGCAGTAAGATTTTAAGTTGTCTCAAGGGTAGAGACATAATTTTTGATATGCATGAATTATACATGCTTCATGAAAATCATTGAACAAACACAGTAGCCTATCTATTTCTTTCCATAAATGAAGCCTTATGTCTGCATAACTTAAAGGAAGTTTATTTCATTAATGCACAGCACACCATCTCATTGTTCAGGTATCTCTGGAGAATGAAGTGATCTGAATAAGCCAAATTTTCCAGATAACTAAAGTTTACCTTAAGTTTCTGAATATATGGGCACTCTGCTCACCTGGGAGCCTGCTCCTCCCCACTGCTCACGCATTCTCTCTCTCTCTTTCTCATCAATAAATAAATAAATAAAATTTAAAAGGGGGGGGCACCTAGGTGGGTCAGTCAGTTGAGCATCTACCTTCAGCTCAGGTCACGACCCCAGGGTCCTGGGATCGAACCCTGTGTGGGGCTCCCTGCTCAGCTGGAAGCCTGTTTCTCCCTCTCCCTTTGCTCCTCCCCCCTGCTCACATGCTTGCGTGCTCTCATAAATAAATAAATAAGATTTTTTTTAAAAAGTTTCTGAATATATTTATTTCAGTGATTTTTAATCGAAATCTTCATTAACATATTCTAAACTTGTTAACCTTACAAAACAAGGTTTCACACACATCTACGATTATCCACGGTCAACAATGATTATGCTATGGCATGACATAACAATGCTAGGGGAGCTTCTCAAGTCTGTATGGAACTATGTGCTCCTTCCCACACAGTAGAGTCTTGGAGTGGCCCCCTAGGCCTTCCTCAAGCAAACTTCTGCTTCCTTCCTCCATGATCAGCTCTCTTTCTACTGACTGCCCTCTCTTACAGTTTTTAATCTGCTGCTTCATTTTTCACATAATATTCTGGGAAAGATTCTGAGACTGGCTCCTTTCTCATTTCTCTTATTTATTATTATTTTTAAAAGATCTTATTTATTTGAGAGAGAGAGAGAGCGCTAAACAGGTAGAGGGAGAAGGACAAACAGACTCCCACTGAGCAGAGAGCCCAACGTGGGGCTCGATCCCCGGACCCTGGGATCATGACCTGAGCCGAAGGCAGACGCTTAACCGACTGAGCCACCCAGGCATCCATGTTATTATTATTATTTTAATAAATAAAAAGAGCTCTCTTTCAGGGCTTTGGGTTACCAGTTGCTTAAATCAGTGCAATCATTCCAGCTTAAAGGAATCACATAAATTGACTCTCGATTAAGCATCTCTTACTGTGACCACTGAATACTCACTGATCCCGGTGTCCTTACAGTACTGGACCAGGTACTGCCCCATGACTCTTAGTAGATGATTATACTCTTGGACATTGAGAAATTCCTGCTTATTATGGGATGGCTCCATGATCTCCAAGGGTATATTAACAATTCCAACCACGCCTGCACCGAGTCTGGGAAAATACATAAATACATAAGTAAATTCTGCGAAATTCAGCTAAGGAAAAAGAAAAAGCAAATATACCTTGGTCTTTTGAAATCAGTTTTTTTCTTTGTTTGTTGTTTTTTTTTTTAAACAAATAAGCTGATTCACTTGGTCTAGACCACATCAAAGTTTAACGAGTTAAAACTGTATTTTGTTACATAAAACTATGGTAATTTTAGGTATGTTTGGTCTCATAATAAAAAAAAATCTCTTAATGCACACCGGTACTAAATTAATATGACTCCTTTTCCAAACCTAAACCTTACATGGAAATCAGGGTGGGTGGGAAGAGGAGGCCTTTTAGCATTAGAAACCACTAACAATGTTTTGCTGAAATAAACTGACATGACCCTCTTAATGATCTGGCCAAAGAGTCACTTTCTCCATCCTCATTTCATCTGTCAGGTTGGATTTTTCCTCATCATTGCAGAGGTCTGTGGGGTGCTTAGTGAATTCCACTAAAGGAACATAGGGCTGGATTATTCTGTAAAGTAACTGGTATCTGCCAGTGAGTCTGATGGATAAATTTTTTTTTTCAGATTTTTAGCAGCTTACAATGTATGTAACTTGGATATTTCTGCTTAGTGACAAAATATTCTGGTTATTTTCCCTGTTTTGGGAAAGAGTATCCAGTTATCTAGCTCTCCCAACTTCCCTTGGCAAGGCACACAAACCAAGCCTTCCCAATGTGGAGCTGCTGCCTATGATGTTTTCCATTACTTTCCCCTTCCAAGCTGCCCTCCCTTCACTATTCATTCTGTAAGTCTACGTTTGGGCCTCATTTCTTCCAGGAAGCCTGACTCAACTTCCCCCAGTTTGGCTGACTACCCCTCCCAATGCTCTTTCTGCACCTGATGCTTGCCTATATATTCATCCCACCATCCATCCATCCATCCATCCATCCATCCATAGCACCTGGCCCTATTCCAGGAACTAGGAATGCAGTATTGAACAAGAAGGTCCCTGCTTATAAAGTGTCTCTTATATTGAAGGGTAACAGGCAGTAAGGGTTACCAGATCCTTTCAGATGGTGATAAGGGGTAGGAGGAAAATAAAGCAGGTGCTGTAACGTGAAGAGTGGTAAGGTGGAGGGGCTGATGGTAGGGGCCAACTTCAATCAGACAGTCCAGGAAGACCTTCCTATGGAGGGAACTTTAGAGTTGGTGCCTAAGTAACACGCCAGGACCAGCAGTACAGAGATCTGAGGACAGAAGGTTCAAGGCAGAGGGAGGGCAGGCGCCAGGCACTAAGGCAGGAGCGAGCTTAGGATATGTGAGAAAAAGGAAGCTACCAGGGTAAGGAGAAGGTTTGAGAAGGTGAGTAGGATGGGGGCTGTCACGGGGCCAGGCAGAGTGATCTTCCAGATCACTGGAAGACCATGGTAACCAGCTCTATTCGACATGCAGTGGGGTTTTAAGCAAGAGAGTAATTTTTTTTTTTTTTAAAGATCATTCTCGCTGTTTCCACAGAATATAAAAAAATACGTATTTTATATACTGTCCCTTTCACTGGACTGTATGTTTCTTAGCAGAGGGTACCAGGTGTTCACCATCTTGTCTGCAGAGCCTAGTGCAGTGCCTGGCACCTGATACTGCAACACGAGAGCTTGCTGAATGAACAAATGAATGAACTTCTAATACCTCGACAGTGAGAAATATGATGAAAAATGTTCCCTTGAGCCATCCTACTAGTCACAATTATTGTGTTTGACCCCTAAGCCATTTTACTGGTCACAATTACCTTGTCTGACTCTCTACATAATTGATGAAAGCAGCCCGTGGAGTTTCAGACCATCAGGAAAGCACCAGAATGTGTTACTCTGGAAGCCAACTAGGCTGAGAGTGTTAATAATACACGTTCATGAAGGTAACTGGCAAGAACTCACACGTGTTAAGGGTTGCACAAAATGTTAACAGGGTTGCTTTATAAGACTATGGATTTTTTTCCCTAAAATTTCTTTATTATGCTTGTATTATTTTTAAATTGGTAAAATATTAAGAACCTAACCCGAGTAGATGGTGCTAGAAACGGTAAAACATCAAGTTGCTCAGGAAATGTATTGAAAATATTTCCCAAAGTATGCTTTTGCCTTAGGACAGGCATGCATCTCTGCCAATATTATAAATTAGGCAGATTAATGCCTGCATATTGATGGGAAGGGTGACCAGAGGACAGGACACCTGCTCCCATTATGATTAACCACTCATTTAACTCCACAGACAGAATCTTACTGCAGCCTCCCTCATGCTGCCTATGCCTCTGAAAACAAAAATATACTTACAAGGACTTCAGTTTCAACTGTGGGCCCACTTTCTCATGCATTTTGATCAGGCGGTTATTACTGTAAATGAACATCCCAGCTTGGCTTCGACTTTCTATGTTCACCCCAAAGATCAAGCACAGTGTCCTGGCTTTTTTTAATTCTCTGGCATTATATTTAGAAAAGTTAAAAAAAATTTTATTAAATAAGAATATACAATTAATAAACTGCCAATAATTAAAATGGGAAGGTAAACATCAAAGAAACTATATATAAAATACCCAGGTATTTTGTTACTATATATAAACTACCCAGGGGAAATGTTACGTGGTCTAATATGTAGGTACACTGCAGCATTTTTGAAACATGATGATTTGACTTTTAAAATTTAGGTATTTTTAACACTGGATGTGATTTCTAACTTTCAGCATGTCCTCAAGCCTCTCAATATCCTATATAGATTAAAATGTGCCAAAAGATATTCTGTAGTTTTCTCTCCTCCTCCAAAATCAAAGGTAAATCAGAGTTAATAAGGCAAGTTTACAAGGGTAACAGACATGAGCTCCTGTTTTTCGGACTCTGCCCTGTTATCTTATGTTTTATGTGACTTCTTTATTAAAAGTGTAAAAACAGAAATTGAGACACAGAAGAATATGATAGAAACAACTGTAGTAACAGGAGACTGCTTGGAGCCATGAAAAGTGCCTGGATGTAAGAATTGGAAAGACGGGGCGCCTGGGTGGCTCAGTTGGTTAAGCGACTGCCTTCGGCTCAGGTCATGATCCTGGAGTCCCGGGATCGAGTCCCGCATCGGGCTCCCTGCTCGGCGGGGGGTCTGCTTCACCCTCTGACCCTCTTCCCTCTCGTGCTCTCTGTTTCTCATTCTCTTTCTCTCAAATAAATAAATAAAATCTTTTAAAAAAAAAATCGGAAAGATGGAGCTGGCTTCAAATATAAGCTCATCTCTGCAATAACCATGTAATAACTATGTATGAGTCACTTCAACTGTCTGTCTCATCTGAAAAATGGGAATAACGCATACATAGCCATTTGGGATGCTATGAGGACTAAAAGAGAGAATGTTAAGTATAAACCTGGAACACAGGAGGTGCCTCATGAGCAATGTTATTTTCCTCTCCCTATCAAGAATGGTAATATAATTCTTCCCCTCTACCCATCTTGTAGCTCTCCTCATTCCACAAAAACAGCCTTTTCTTTTCAAATTTATGATAACGTGCCATTATGACTGACATAACATGCTTACTGGACTGGTTAAATACATCTATCGTTAATGGACAAAGAAAAAGTCCTAGTTGTTCTTCTATGTAGACAGGATATACAGAGTACATTAGACTTTAAAGGAAGTTATTGACTTGGATTAACATAGTATATATATATATATTTTAATTTTGTTTATTTCTGAGAGAGAGAGAATGACAGAGAGAGAGAATGAGAGGGGTGAGGACCAGAGGGAGAAGCAGACTCCCCGCTGAGCAGGGAGCCCGATGCGGGACTCGATCCCGGACTCCGGGATCATGACCTGAGCCAAAGGCAGTCGCTTAACCAACTGAGCCACCCAGGCGCCCCAACATAGTATATATTTTTTAAGCACATACATGTTGGGTCAAATATATTCAAATCACACTTTTTCCCCAAAATGTACACTAAATATTAAATCCTTACTCTTCAATAAAAAAGAATACTGACTATGTAAGGGACCCCAAAACAGGGTGTTACATAATCACTCTGCAATAGTAAGTGGCATACTGATTGTCTTTAATTTTTAAAAAAAAAAAAGCATTTTGGGAGCACCCGGGTGGCACAGTTGGTTTAAGCGTCCAACTCTTGGTTTCAGTTCAGGTCATGATCTCATGGTCGTGAGATCAAGCCTGGTGTTGGGCTCTGTGCTCAGTGGGGAGTCTGCTTGAGATTTTCTCTCTCCCTCATGCTTTCTGTGTGTGTGTGTGTGTGTATGTCTCTCTCTCAAAATCAATAAATCTTTTAAAAAAACAATCATAAATTAAAAAGTATTTTGTTCTAAAAACAAGTTCATACCAACTAACTGGCATTGTTATTAATAAAATGTAGATCAATCACCTTTCATGCATATCAATGTAACTACAAACAATTCACCAACCAGATTTTTCTTTCTGGAAATCTTTAAAGAGGCCTTTGCTATGGAAACAGCCCAAGCATCCATCAATTGATGAATGGATAAAGAAGATGGGGTGTATTTATATATATACATACACACGTGTGTGTGTGTGTATGTATGTATACACACACAATGGAATACTACTCAGCCACAAAAACAATGAAATCTTGCCATTTGCAACAACATGGATGGATCTAGAGGGTATAATGCTAAGTGACATAAGTCAGGCAGAGAAAGACAAATACCGTATGATTTCACTCAGAAGTGGAATTTAAGAAACAAATGAACGTGGAGGGGGTGGGGAAGAGAGGAAAACCAAGAAACAGACTTTTAACGATAGAGAACAAACTGATGGTTACCAGAGGGGAGGGGGTGGGGGAATGCGGGAAATAGGTGATGCGGATTAAGGAGTGCACCTGCTGTGATGAGCACAGGGTGATGTATGGAAGTGCTGAATCACTATATTGCACACCTGAAACTAATATAACATTGTATGTTAACTAACTGGAATTTAAATAAAAACTTTTAAAAAATAAAGAGGACTTTGCTTTTTAATGAAGATTTCTATGAGATTTATTTAGTATTTATTTTTATAAATGCATAGTTAACATTTCAAATTTCAGCTTTGAGGAAAGTTATGGTTATATAGCACTCCATAGTTCACAAAAGATAATTCTGTAAACTAGTAATACTTCCTTAAAAATCTGTTTCTCAAAGTTATCCCAGCTTTCAGAGTCTGACCTTACTTAGACAACACTGAATATTCTCAGTTTAACTTGTTTAACACCTGAGCTGGAGACCAAGTCAACTTTACAAATGTAAATAATGGTTTTGTAAGTTAGGCTTGCTATTTTTATTTTAACTATAGTGATATATTTATTTGAAACATTTTCAATTTTAAATTTTAAGCAGTACTAAAAGTGAAAAGAAATCAGGACCAACCCTCCAAAGGCTTGTATCTGCCAAAGGACACAGAGAAAGTAGTCAGCTGATCCTCTGGGCAGAGTTACTTCCTCAACTGGACACTGAGCTAATTTTTCACTCTGTATTCAGAAGTTTTAACATTATGTAAACACATGTATGCATGCAAATATATATTTTATAAATACTCTCATTGATTATGTGGTTGGGGGATTTTGACCATATTATGCTTAATATAATAAGATGTCATAGGCTGAGAAAGAGAAGTTATCACATTAACCACCAAATCTGTCTCTTCAGAAATCAGAATTTGTTTTATCAAAGTGCAGAGGATTCTGGTGAACGGAAAATCTTACATCTTACCTCTGTTTCTCTTTAAGAATCTTATGCTTTGCTTCTACATCTTCCAAAGCTTTCTGTAATACGTCCTGGAGAAGTACATTTGGTTAGGAGAGAACATAATTCTATTAAATTAATGAAAGCTGAGCTGATATTTATTATCCTATTATCCAAATGTTTCACAAGGGTAATAGTGATAGGTCACATTGCCTAATGCAATTGTGCCATGGTAGACAATAAATACTTGTTAAATGATTCAGCTGCAGTAGCTAAGAGACACATCAAATCCTAGCCCACGGTTCTCTTTTTGCACATATTCCAATGTTCTCTCTCTGCCTTTTAGAAAAGAGCCATTGCTCCCTATAAGATCACACTGGCTTTCACACAAATTACACAAAAGCTTAGCAAAGCCTGAGTTTTGTCTGTGAGAACAACGACAAAAAAATGCTAAATCATGTGATCAATCACTAAAGCTTCTTCAGGAAAAACAAAGCTGCTATTAAAAACTTTTGTCAGGGGCGCCTGGGTGGCTCAGTCGTTAAGTGTCTGCCTTCGGCTCAGGTCATGATCCCGGGGTCCTGGGATCGAGCCCCGCATCGGGCTCCCTGCTCAGCCAGGAGCCTGCTTCTCCCTCTTCTACTCCCCCTGCTTGTGTTTCCTCTCTAGCTATCTCTCTGTGTCAAATAAATAAATCTTTAAAAAAAAAAAAAAAAAACTTTTGTCAGTCACCATAAGAAAATGTCTCCTTTATATCAAGTTCCAGATACCCTGAATACTCCCCAAGCTGTCCCTTTATAGGACAGCCCAACCCTAGGATTTCTCCCTTTCAGAGTACCTCAATACCAATGCCCACCTCTCTTTCTTATCTTGTCTTTTAATTTGATCTACTGGCTCATTCACTGCCCTATCTCTTGTATGCTCTCTCTAACCAGGAGAAAAGAAATAATGCATTGTTATTATTTCACAAATAACAACAGATTTTTAATGTGCTCCATCCACCTGATGTGAAAGTTGGGCATCTCATTTGGTGAGTATACCACTCACTGAACATTATTTTCACTGACTTTAAAGTAAAAGCAAATGGTAAAATGATTGGTATTTCACTTCACATGCAACCACTCAACTGCCTCGAGGAATTTAAGAGGTTGGAAGCCAAGGTCATTCTGCTTTGCTCTCTTTGCTGAGCAACAAAGCAAGGTGGTCAAAGACTTCCCCACCCCTCCTGTCAATGCACTCAGAACACAGAGCAAAGAGGCAGTGATAAGTTAAGGCTAAGGCAAGAAGAAAGCAGGGTCCTGACCCATTAGAGTCTGTTTCTCTTGTCTCTCAAATACATAAAGCCAAGGAAATTGATTTCTTCGAGACAAAATTTAAAAAACTTAAGCCTTTCTCTAAAAATCAGTAACAGTAAGATAGGTCTATGTTTACCTTAAAATAATAATTGAAAAGAAAAAAAGTTAGAGAATTTTGGGAAAGCCATAGGTAACTTTGGGGCATTACCAGGTGCCACCCTTTGATTTCATTCCCTATTCATGATCTTTAGATATGAGAGAGCTCTGTATCAGACACAGCCCTTGTCCTTGAAAGTTCAAGGGCAAACCACAGAAAGGATTCATATACTGAGTCTGCAGAAAAGAATGAAGGAAAAGTGAAGTGAGGCATTTTTTTCTCCCTATACCTTGGTATTCCTTTATATACAAGCAAATAAAAGGTTGCTTCATAATTCACCACATTTTTGGTAAAAGCTGCCAAACTTATAATTCATGTCCTGCAGCAACATTCTTTTCCTTAGTTGCCATACATTGTAATTAATAATAATAGTTCTTTATAACCTATCTTACTCATGGGCGTATTGCAAGGATTACAGAAAATGTTTATGAACTGTGTGGAGCAACTCATAAGAAAAGAGCTTTGTAAGCTGGAAGTACTGTTATTAATATTCATAATTATAGCACATAATTCCTAGCACCAGAAAAAAGGATGGCTTATTAGTCTTCTCCTTGCTTTCCCCATTTATTCAGGTCTGTAGGGAGCAATAATTTGAAAAGATATTTTCAAGGAAACTTGATAGGCTAGTTTTTTCTGTTAGTTTTTCATTATTTTCTCCTTTTCTCTTATTACTTTTCATTTTAAAGAAATGAGCTGTGGTACTTGTCCCCACTGTTCCAAATTCACCCCACGTTGCTTATCTTTGCTCTCAGACTCAGCCTTCTCTCACTGCTGACGCTTCTCTCCTTTCTCTGCACGCCTCTGTTCTGTTTACCTGGATGAAAATCAGCTTAAGCTTCTGAGCTTGTCTGTGTTTATAAGCTTAGGAAGTAAATGATAAGAGACAACTGTGCGCAGGAAAAAGCAAAGGACACTTTACCATTTAAGAAGACTATGTGTCATACCTTGGCAGAAGACAAAGAAGTCTTGTCAGGCCGGTTTACTGTGACTTGTGCCTCTTTCAACACGAGTTCGGCTGGAAGCAGAAGCAAGATAATTATAACACCAGGAAATTCGTTCAAGCAATTTTAAATGAGTGTTATATATATGTACACACACACACACACACACACACACACACACACCTTATGGCTGTGACCAGTGAGAATGGCTTATAGACAATAATCTCAGAAAATCCTATATTCCTTCCATAGCTCTCACACCTGCCAGGTGGAGGCAGCCACACTGGGCTTCCTCTTAGACATTACAGTTGACAGGGCATAACTTTATACATACAAATTAAAGAGTTACGACTGAATGTTTGGCTGACTGAAAACTCTCTAAAATCCATGAAATATAGATTAAAGTTATTCCTTGCTCCTGGACCACTGGGAAAGCATGGCTTTGTCCTCATTGTGTGTGGCGGGGAAGGAGTAGTGAATGTGTAGAACATTCCTTCTTAAAGTACATGTAATGCTAGTCTCTAAAATGATCTAATTCAGCATCATGCCAACCAGAATTTCTTCTATCGATATACATCAATCTCGTTCCAAGTGTGTACTTGGAATAATAGACAGTAAATAATAAGATATAGCAATATATGTTATAATAATAAATAACACCATAATTAAACAAAGCTAGAGATAGAAAAATGTGTTATGAAGTTCCTGAGAGGCAGAAATTTGATTAACTGTGGTCATTCCTACAATGCTAAAACAGTACATATCTCAGAATAAGTGCACATACCAATCTTGACTGCTTCTTCTGCCTTCTTAACTTCATTTTTAAATGCTCCTTTAAAAGAAGATGTGACATATAGATACTTTCTGAAAAGAAAAAAGAAAGAACATAATCAAGTCAGATTATCATTTTTAAGTACATAATACTTAGAGAATATTCTTCAGGAAGAATATATACTCAGATATATATAATTATTAAGAAAGATTCATAGAATAAGTTGCATCCAACTGATAAACCAGCAAATTTTATACCTAGGAAGAAATTCCTTGCCTTTTAATACTTGGCAATTTTGCTTTAGTAAGGGAACTTCAGGAGCGAGATAACAAAATTTCTGCCCATACAAATGTTCATTTATACATATAAAATAGGATAATTTTCTTAAAAAGAAAAATTTCTACGTAACAGATCCATTATCAGAGCTTCTAGTTAATAAATATAACCCTCTTACTCAGGTCATAGACACTGGATAAACCAGTTCTCCCAGTCCCAAACAGCTATCTTTAACTAAAATGTTCAGAAACACACATTATCATTTTAAACTACCAAAACACACTTTCTATTTTATTGCCCAAGAAGCTTGTTTTCAAAGCCTGTTACTTTAGTGAGAGCAATGGTACTCTAGAACAATCAAGGAAAAGGAATAAACAAATAAATACATTAAAAACAATTATATGTATACCTTATCTGTATACCTCATTCTGTAACTTTTGCCTTTTACCCCTATAGACCCTGGAGCTCACCATTCTCTGATACCTTCCATGTTTAGAAAGGTTCAGCCAGAGATGGAGAGAGACCTGCAGGTCATCCCTGGAAGCCAAAATGTCTTCAGACATCTAAAAAGAGGCATTTGCTCAGGCAGAGGGAGAGTCTAAATCTATATGCCCCTGGGGCACCTGGGTGGTTCAGTTGGTTAAGCATCTGACTCTTGATCTGGGCTCAGGTCTTGATCTCAGGGTCTTGGGATCAAGCCCTGCATCAGGCTCACTGCTCAGTGGGAAGCCTGCTTCTCCGTCTCCCTTTGCCCCTCCCCCTGCTCTTGCACGTGCTCTCTTTCTCTCTCAAATAAAATCTTAAAAAAAAAAAAAAAGAAAGAAAAAAGAAAAAGAAATAAGTAGCAAGATAAATTCTTTTTCTTAAGGCTCTGAAGGATTTGTAGAAGTTTGTCCAGTTACCTACATGAAAAGGCTTAAATGTTAAAAAATAAATGTCATCCTATATTCATCTACTTCGATGGTTTAATGAACAGCTCAAGTTATAATAACTAGTCTCTTTATGACTAATTTTAATGTTCATTTTCCGATGAAATTATGGTTAACCACAAGAAAGGAACACCCACAAAATCTAAGGTAAAGTAATTCTCAGTTTTTTCCCTTAATTTTCTTTTAAAATGAACATTATTCATTTAAGTCATAACCAAGGTATATTCCAAATCAGTCTCTATTACACTTAGAAAACAGCAAAACCTAGGTTTGGAAGTAAAAAATTATTGGTCTCTAATTACTGGAATTACCATTTTTTTTAAATCACATATTAATCACATAATTAATCTGGTATGAATCACTCATTTTAAATAATTTTTTAAATAAAGTGAAATTAAGGAGAAACTTTGAACAATGAAGTGATCCTTTAAAAATGCTATAAACTATTCAAGCATTTTATAGACTCTGTGTTTATAGCCCTAGAAAGTAAAAGTGTCACAGAAGGTGCCAACTACGCATTAGTGCTTAATTTTAAACAGCAAACACCAGCACAACATGTGCTTCCTTCGTAGTCTGCATCACTGAGGCAAACTGGTCCCAGATAATCCAGAACATCTCAGATGATCTGTATACTTTCACAATTTAAACTTTACAATTGTTCATAACAATTCTAAAAAGTTAACAAAGAAATATATGTACTTGTGGAAATTCAGTGTAATGAATCTGCCCATCCTCATAAAGGAAGAATTTTTGGTCAATCCGCATCCATAATCAGGAGTCTACCTCAGCTGGACACTTCTAATTTTTCCTACTGGTGGACTCTTGCCTTTAAAATAAAAATGCCTTTAAAAGCCAGAGCAATGCATGCCCTGGGGGATGAGGGAGAGAATCTATCCAGCTGTCTATTCCTCCTTCCTTGCTGCTGAGGGCAGGGGAAGGGCCTCTGGGCCTCCAGTTCCTCAGGGATTAGAACTCTTTCCAAACCCATCTCCCAAACTTCACCTTTACTCGACACTTCTGCCCCCGATGCTCAGCTGCAGCCTTCACCCCCCATACTATTTCTGCCTTCTCTCTAAACCACCGTGTTCTGCCACATTTTAGGCCTTCACTCTCCCTCAGCCATTTCACCTTCTACCTCCCTGTTTTTTTCCATCAATGAAGTTGCATTCAAATATTTGATGTTCACTTTCTACATAAAACAATTTATTGAAGACTTTCTTCTGAAGGAGTTGAAAAAACAAAAGGTCAATGAAAATATTGAGAGAAATGAAAACTAAGACAATATAAATGTTTTGCTCCTTAGAGTGGTAAAAATGAAAAAAAGAAAATATTGTTAATAACAAGTGTAGATTTGGAACCAGACAAAAGGGCACTTGGTGTAAGAATAAATTGGGTCAACAAAACCAAAAGACGACCGACAGAATGGGAGAAGATATTTGCAAATGACATATCAGATAAAGGGCTAGTATCCAAAATCTATAAAGAACTCATCAAACTCAACAC